ATAAAAATAAAAATCCCTTACACCAACTTTGTGTTTCTCCCTCACTCTTCCTCTTCAGCTCCCTGAGAGGGAGGTTCCAGAGAAAATACTGAACTAAAAGCCAGGGCCCAGAGAAAGCTGATTCATCCCCCGCCCAGGGCCAGTGGCCGGCTCCAAGCAGAGCTGTAAAATCAATCTGTCACTGCTCACCGCATTATAGATCAGTGGAGAGATTCTGACTGCAGCAAGAGGCTGAGCCTGGCCTTCTCTTGGATCCCTCCCTCTTTCTCAGGCAGAGCAGGGACTGTGAATGGAGCCCTGACAAGGGACAGAGGAATAGACAGAGGGAGGGAGGAAGAGAGCTCTGCTGGCATGGTGACTGGAATCCCTCCCAATATGACTCCTTCCCCAGCCACCAGGCAGAGTCCCCAGGGTGAACAGTCACTTTCCTCCCCTCCCTCTTCCCACTCATGGGGTCACACCTGGAGCAAGAAGGGTGGGAAAGATTGGGTGGGGGGAGATGGGTGAATGACTTCCTTCCCTCTTGCTCCATTAGGAAAGGCTGTCTGTGTTCTCCCCACCAAACACCCCAGGGGTGTTCTATGGAGCTACCTGAACCCTCCTTCTCCAGAGTGTCAGACACCCCCTTGTCTGCTCTGTGATCTTCTTCATAGTTTATTAATCTGAGTGCTGAGATCTTTCTGGAAGTGGATAGGAGAGTGAAGTTCTTGCTTGTTGAGTGGTGAGAGAGGGACTGTCTCTACTGCTGAGTTAGGCCAAATGTGTGGAAAATGCTCGGGTGTAGTCTTTTCAGCCATGGGATAATCCCCTAGGCACATTTCCAATGTTTGAACAAAGCTGTGGGGGAATTTGTGGCAAGGAGGAATTCTGCACTGGATGAGGGGATGGACCATCTGAGGTTTAATATGTCTTGTCCATTTATCCCTTGGATTCTCAAATGTGTGTATGTGTGCGCACTAGGTGGGTACTTTTCCTGCATAGGCAAGATAAATGTGTTTTCCTGAAACTTGAGTGTGTCTATGTGTGGTTTTGTGTGTGTGTGATATCATCATCCCATGAAGCTATTGACAATACAATATGTGTGAGTGGAACATAGATAGTTGGTTCCTCTTGTGCTGGTGCGCTTGTGTGTTTTGTGTAGGGGAGACACAATAGTTTTTCTGCAGTTGTTGCATATGTGCAGGTGAGGGCTGAGGCTAGTTTGCCTGCAGCTTTGAGAGTAAAGGAAAGGACTCATTTCTCTATACTAATTGCCTGTGTTTGTGTATGCAGAGAGATGGGATGGCTGGGTCCCATTTCAGTAGTGTTGCAGTCAGGCAGCCTGAGTGGTGCTCTGGCAACAGTGGTTCTGATTTTCTATTAGACACTGCTTAAAAGTGGTTGGCCCATAGCCCTCTTGGCTCTACACCCTGTGGAATTTTGAGCAAAAGTAAAAACTGTGTGTGGCGGGGGTCTTTGTCCCTTTTGCCCCCCAGCCCTCCATAATTATCTCCCGGGGGAGAGATGTGGGCAGTTACATCAAGTGCAAGTTTTGTGTTTGTAAGAGTTCCATTCTAGTCTACTTCCTGAATGTGTGTGTGTGTGTGTGTGTGTGTGTGTGTGTGTGTGTGAGAGAGAGAGAGAGAGAGAGAGAGAGAGAGAGATGAGTAGTTTCCCAGAATCTGTTGTGTGTGTTTATATTTGTGCATAGCTGCTGGTTTCACTCCAGCTGCTGTTTGTGTGCATGTGTGTGAGTATTGGGAGAAGGAGATGTGAGCAGTTTCTATGCAGCTGTGTTTGAGGCATTTGGACCATTTCCCTTTGATTGTTGCACCTCTATATGTGTTTGGGGGAAGGACATGAGGAATTTCTTTGCAGCTGTGGTGTGTCTATGTCTCAGAGAGATGGACAGTTTTCTACAGCTGTGGTGTTTGTGACGGTGAAGACCTGAGCTATCTTCCTTTCAACTGTTGCATACATCTGGCTGTGGGAGGGGGATTGCAGGCAGGAATTATTTCTCTACACCACTTGTGCATGTCTGTTTCTGTGCGAGATGTGGATATTTTCTCTGTAGCTATTGTGCTTGTGTAGATGGGGAATGACAGTGTCTCAGCAACCATTGCATGTGTGGAGTTGTATGAGGAGAGGGGTGTAGTTCCCCAGCACCTGTTGCATGTGTGTGATGCTGTGTGCATGTCAGTAGTTTCCTAGCAGCTGTTGCATGTGTGTGATGCTGTGTATATGTGGGCAGTTCCCCAGCAGCTGTGGCATGTGTGTGATGCTGTATGTATGTGGGTAGTTCCCCAACAGCTGTGGCATGTATGTGATGCTGTGTGCATGTGGGCTGTTTCCTAGTAGCTGTTGCATGTATGTAATTTGAGGACAGTGGGGTAGCTTCGTAGCAGCTGATGCATGTGTGTGATGCTGTGTGTATGTGGGTAGTTTCCCAGCAGCTGTGGCATGTGTGTGATTGTATGAAAGAAGGGGCTTGATTTCCAACAGCTGTGGCATGTGTGTGATTGTAGGAAAGAAGGGGCTTGATTTCCAACAGCTGTGGCATGTGTGCGATTGTATGAAGGAAGGGGCATAGCTCCCCAGCAGCTGTGGCATGTGTGTGATTTAACATCTCTGAGGCCCAGCCCCTTACCTGTGTGCACCGGAGCTGTGGCTGGGGAGGCGGCACAGCCTGGGCGCGAGCTCCATGGGAGACAGACCTGCGCTTGTCCCAGCCTCCCCAGCGGGGAGCAGCCGCGGCGCCTCCGGGCCCACGG